TGGTCTAGTGGTTAGGATTTGGCACTTTTAGGCACAGTGGTTAGCACTGCTGCCTCACAGCACCAGGGACCCAGGTTCAATTCCACCCTCGGGTGACTGTCTGTGTGGAGTTTGCACATTCTCCCCGTGTCTGTGTGGGTTTCCTCCAGGTGCTCCGGTTTCCTACCACAGTCCAAAGATGTGCAGGCTGGGTGGATTGGCCATGTTAAATTGCCCATAGTGTCCCAGGATATGTAATTTAGCTGGGTTAGCCATGGGAAATGCAGGGTTACAGGGATAGGGTAGAGGGATGGTTCGGGGCATAATGCTCTTCAGAGGGTCAGTGTGGACTTGTTGGGCTGAATGGCCTGTTTTCATACTGTAGGATTTCTATGGAATGTTCCTCATTACAATTTCCTCCTTGTCTGCCTCTAAGGGATCCATGTTTACTTTAGTTTCATTTTAGCATACTTATAAAACCTCTTAAAATCTTTTTAAGAGAATGTTTCTTACTCATTTACCCCCATTTCCTATTTTCTCTTGGCATTTTCTTGGTCACCTTTGGCTATTTTTTAAGACTGTTCCAATCCTCAGACTTGCTACCATTTCTGTCAAAAATTGTAATAATTGTAAGTCTGTTCTTCTTTCAGTTCTATTCTCGACGTCTCTGTCATAGAAACTTCAAATTGTTTTTAGCACCGGAGACCGTGCAGCTCATCTTGCCTGTACTGGCCAAACAGAAGTTGTTCAGCTTTAAATCCCAATTTGTACATATGATTGTACAACTAGGGTCACTGTTTAAAAATAAGGGGCCACCCAGTTAAGACAGAGATAAGGAGAAATGGTTTATCATTGAAGGTTTGTGAATTTTTGGAACTTCATTCCTGAAAATGCAATGGAAGAAGGCTCCTTGAATGTTTTTTACAGCAGAGGTTATTGAAGGGTGAAGCAGATATGAGGGGCTGAGTGGCCTGCTCCTGTTCCAAATTCATCTGCCTGTACGTATGTTCCAGTTTTTTGATCTGTCACTGCTTGGTGAGAGTATTTCAACTCCACATCCAAATACGTTTTAAAAAATGTGAGGAGAGTTTGTCTGTCTACCACTCTTTCTGACAGAGTTCCAAATCCCCACCACCCTCTGAATGAGAGAGAAAAAAATAACTCCTCAAGCATTCTCGAACGGTTCCACCAACCACATTAAATCTACACCCGTCCAGTGATTAATCATTCCTCTTGGCTATTATTCTCCAGTCTTGGCAACATCCTGGTAAATCTCCTGTGTTCCTTCTCTCGTGTGATCACATCCTTCCTGTAATGTAGTGGCCATAACTGTACACAGTTCTCTCGCTGTGATCTAACCAGTATTTTAGACAGTTCTAGCAAACACCCTTCCTATACTCCAGTCTGTGTCCAAGAAACAAAAGAATTCTATATACATTCTTCACCATCTTACCAACCTGTCCTGGTACCTTGTGGGATTTGTACTTTCCCTGATCCTCTCCACCTCTGTTTCCTCTCATTTATGGTGGATACCTTTATCAGTTTCACCTCCTCAATGCATCAGCTCACTTTTCTCCCGATCGAATTACACTAACCCATTTAACTGCCCGTCTGGCCAGAACATTCATCACGTTCTACAGTCTACAAACAGGGAGCCTACAGTCATCCCCCTTCCCGGTTGACTAAATGGCCAATTTTTGTATCATCTGCAAACTTCTTAAACATGCCCCCCATCCCCAACCCTTGCAAATAAGTCTCAGTCTTTGGTATCTAAAACAAACAGTGAGTTTCAATTTACGATGATAACAAGGTGTAGAGCTGGATGAACACAGCAGGCCAAGCAGCATCATAGGAGCAGGAAGGCTGACGTTT